ACAATACTGACATGCTTCATCATTATGTCAGACATAATATTGTGTTTTACGTACATACCTGTCCATTCACTTTTTAAATGTGATATATATATACATATGAATGTAAAGCGCATTGAGCATATTTTAGAAAATGGAAATGCCCAGCATAAATGCTATTTAAAATTATTATTATTAATATTATTCATATTGTTTTGAGACCAACTATCTTTCATTAAATTGTTGATATTTTCAGATAAGGCGAAGGATGTTGCTCAATCAGGATACCCTTTCTCATTCACCAAAGAGTAGAAAAAGGGCACTAGAAAGAATGGATGAGCAGTAATGAACATGTCTTTGCCAGCTACGATCCAAGCTCTGTCATTTAATAATTCTAATGGCAACCTGTCCAACTCCAAGCCAATCACCTGTACAAATGACCACTTCTTGTTTCCTCTGTTGTATTTTTTTTCTGTATTATTATGACATTGTCCAAGATGTCTACTTGTCTAAAACGACCACTTTCGACCTAAGCAATGGGTGGCCGTCTTGGACAATTTTGACTGTAATAGCTCTGTCAAAGTCAAATGCCTCACTAAATAATTATACGAGTATAAATCACTCTTGGTCCTCTAAGTGTAGAATACACATTAGCATGAGAGCAGGCCATTTAGAAAAAATAGGAAGATGGATAGATAGAAACAACAAATAAAAAGGATAGATAGAAGAAGGACTTATCTGTGGCGCTCTCCAGTCATCCACCAAAGAGAAAAAGAAAAACGAACAGACACGATACATTAGTATTAACACTACAGAAGCACATCTAAGATGTTCCTGTGTCATATTTCATCACTGAAGGTGTCGTATCCTCTACCTGGGTACACTCAATCTACCCCCTGCCTCAACGCATGGGGGAGTTTGTGAATTTGAGTACATAGAAGTACATCCACACGGTAATGGCCATTTAGTGCTCAGCAAAAGGCAGACAGATAAAAACAAAAAGACGGAAAGAAAAAAAAAAGACCTAAAAGTGGCACTTTCCAACACATTGAGAAGAGGAAAAGAAAAAAAAAAAGACCTACCAGTGGCACCTTCCAACACACTGAGGGGAAAAGAAAAAGGTTACCTTTTGAAACATTCCCTTCAAGTGCAAGCTTCAGCGGGTGAATCCACTCTGACGGGCAGCAGTTACGGGAAACGTGCAGAGTCCTCCACGTGTATTGACCTCTGCGTTCACTTGCGTCCTCACAATCCTCATCATAATTCTTAGCACCCACAGATGTCTCTGTGTCCGTCAGTGACTTCTCAAAGCCGACTTCTTTGGACCAGTTTTTAGCATCTTTATTCGGCAAACACACAGCAGGATGTGAGTTCTTATCAGACGCACGGGTTACTATACTTGGCTCATGAAAATGACTAGAGTCAGCAGCTTGGGGTGGTCCTGAAGTTGTAATGTGTGTAGGGCTAGGAGAAACTTCTTGCGTGACTTGAGGGAAGGACCGCTGGAAGGAGTTACTGCCTTGCAAAGTTACGTCCTGCTCAGATCCACTGCTCTGCGATTTGTCATTGTTAAGGGTTTCTAAATTGGAAATATCACAAACCTGCTGAAAGCTCTGAGCTTGTGACCATGAGAGAAAGTCTCTGGCAGGTGCACTTTGTTGTTGGAGGGAAGAAGTAGGTGCTTTTTGCTGTTCGCACAAGAAGGCAGGTGCACTTCCCTCTTGGTAACCTAAGAACGAACCACTGAGGGAAATGTCTTCAGTTCGAACGGTTTCTTTGAACACAAGGGGTAAATCTTTCACTTGAATTTCATAAGGGCTGGAGGTGTGATGTGTTGGAGAGCTGTGTCTGTGCTTATATACAGGTGCTTTAGTAAGGCTGTTGTCACAGACCATATCATGAGAAATTGATGCATCAGTGTCTATTGTTGTTCGCAGACCATCTGGGGTCGAAGATCGACTAATACTGGAGATTTCATGTGAGCTTGGCGATCCAACAGTGAAAGAAGATTTGCTGTTCTGTCTTTTTCGGGAAACAAAGTTTTGATGATCCTTTGCACTAATAGGTGGCTCTTGGAATGGTAAAGGAACATCTCCATGAATGGAAGTTTGACTAGATGGTAAAACAACATGTGCATTCCCAGTAAGTTCAACATCCCGAATTGGCAACTGCTGTGGCTGTGAAGATGAGTGTGAGATTGTTTCTGTCTGGAGAGAGGAAGTAGTCTGTGCTTGCTGAGAGGCAACTGTTGGGTCTGGCTCATGCACTGGAGGGTGTGTGGGAAAACTGGCATCAAAACTCTGGGGAACTAAAATTGGGTGCTGGGATTTTTCTCCTTCAATGACACTTTTTTCCTTTGAGCAGTAAGGATGAACTACGGCCTCCTTCGGCTTAAAGTTATGCACCTGTTCCGATGACGATTTAGCAGGAGACAGTCTTGGAGAAACTGCTGATGTAAGGGAAGTCGATCGCTGTGACAATGACCCTTTTGATTTTTTTTCTTCAGGACTGACTAGCGACAAATAACAGACGGTGAAATCTTGACAGTGAGGAGACACTATCAGACTGGCATACTCATCAAGGGATGTAATCTTCCTGCTTCCATCCTCTAAAATGTCAACATTTGTTTTGTCTGCCAATTTCACCCATGCAATTTCCTTGACTGTTGCATACAGAGACTGCAAACATAAACAAAGTAAACTGTAAAGACACTGGATGAAGCCATAAAAGATTGTTATCGTAAAGTCTCAAATTTATGTGCGAACATAATGTTGACAGCCCACACAAATTAATTAACATGGTCCTAGACCTTAAGAACAACTCTTAACAAATCATGACACTGTCACTTGCAAACATGTAATGTACTACTTTCACCCTCAAGCCCAACCTCCGAACAAAATAGCATTTTGGATTTGTAGACACCACTACTCGCTTACTTTTGTTGGCACTGGAAAACATAACATGGTCAAATATAGGAAGGTCCTAGTAATCCTATCTGTTTTAGTTTTAGTACAGGTTTTATGTCGCACGCAACTGCATAAGGTCATATGAGTACCAGAAGATTAGAGGTGTCACAAGAGAGCAACAAACATAAAAAAGAAGGGGAGATAAGGACAATAGATGTCTGACAGGAAAGAAGCAAACCACACCAGAACACCCGCCAACCACCCACGATCCTATCCACAAATGAACAACAATACTGACATGCTTCATCATTATGTCAGCTATAAGTCTACCCCAACAAGAAAGAGGTTTACAGTACAAAATTAAAGAAAAAAAAACCCAAAACTGAAACACTCTTTTTTTTCAAGACTAAAGTTAAATACGTAGGCACCTTCAAAAGCAAGCTCCTCTAAAATCTAAGAAAGAAAATCTTTCTTGAGTGGCTCCCGACCTACTAAAATTTTTGAAAAAGTTATGTTATTTTATATCATAAGGTAGAGGTACCACTACCAAACAATAATAAAAAAGGAATGACTCAGTGTTTACATTTCTAGCAGACAAAAGTCCTAAAAGTAAAACTTACAATTAAATCTGCCTTGTGTATTAATTCCTTGCACAGATAAGGTCTCTCTGCAAACCTGTTCCTGAAATCTAAAGCTTGCAGTACTTTCGTCCGGTGTTCACTTGTCACAAACCTAGTCCTCTTCTGACATTTGGAACCTGAAATTTTCAATATACACGAAAAAAAAATTAATACTACTTTTACAAAGGAGAATATAATATAGAAGTTCAATATCAGAGTAAATTTCTATACTGCGCTCATTATTTACCTCTAGTTATACAGTTAAACCTCTCATAATACCCCCCCCCTCTGACAATGTATATAAACTAGCACCTATTTAAACATAGTATTTATATGCCTTCACACTGTTTGAGTTGTACATTCCTTATTTAACTAATGTAAATTTGCCCTGCCATACTACTGCCAGCAAACTGATCGCCAGAGGTACACACTACACACAACACTCACTGGTTGGCTACTTGATAATTAATCTTTCTCCCATGAGAAAGACATAGGGATAGAGAGAGAGAGGAGACTTGGCTCTGAATACATGTACATGTATATATTTATTACCAACAAAAATACACTTTTCTGATTTCAAACATAGATCACACAACAGAATCATGTCCCTTGACTTTGGGCAGTCGAGTAAACAGAGGAACCCCACTGAGCGCCAGCCCCACTGTTTTGCGAACTTCATGCTCATCCCGAGGGTGGCAGTATAACAAAGTTTGACTGTTTATCAAATTTAATGCTTTCTGTAAAAACAGTATGTCATAAATTACATTTAAAAAAGAGATTGATTCTCACATCTCACAGTATTGTATTCATGACAATTAAGAGACACACTTGTTTTGTTTTCTTCTCACAATGCTCAGATCATTCAACATTCTGGAATTTTTGTCACACAAAATGTAAACAAAGAGGCCTGCAATCCAAAAATGACATATACTTAAAGGAAGACGGGGGTCAGCCATCCCAGATAATATTGATACAATTTTCCGAATGATGTAATTTTTATTTTTTGCAGAAAAACATCCTTTGACCTCTCTTCTATCGGGTCACAATGAAAAACACCCTAAATTACCTAAAAGGGCGTCTGAAAAGTGCATATTTGTACTGAAAATCCTTTTAAAAATTCCAATTTTTTCTGTTTTTCTCAAAATCTGCTTCTTGACATAATGTGACCTTGGCGCCAGGAGTTTTCAAAATCTACTGAAGCTAGTTCAGAAGCTTCAAATTTGGCATACAAGTGCTTTAAGATCTATTCTGGGGATCTATGTGCGGAAATTGGGAAATAATGGTCACTTGTGGAAATATTCAAATTTTTTGTTACATATAGCCCAAAATTTCGTCAACGACTCTCGGGGGTCCATTGACTTTGAGCTCACTTTTTTATTTTTAAAGATAGGTCAAAATCCTCACATAGATCCACAGTCCATAGATTTGCACTTGGGTGCCAAATTTCAGGCTTCAGTGTCAATATTTTCTATGAAATTCTTCTGCACTACGATGGCCACCGCAGAGACCCATTTTTTAGGAAAAATTAACAAAATCATCCGTACTACATCGTAAGTCATTCGGTTACACATTTTTTTCCGGGAGTGTACGTCTCCTTAAGAGATGATCTCCATCAAGATTGTATTGGCTTCCATTGCTAAAAAAAGACAAACAATAAATAGGCCTACAAAAGAAACTGGTTGGATACCGACAAGCTAAAAGAAAAAAAAAAGTGGAGATATACATGTGAGGTGAAAACAGGTGCTCGTCAAAACAATGAAATCAAAGAAAAAGGCGTTCTTCTGGGCCAGGCGTTGGGCAATTTTTTTCCGATTTTTTTTTTTCAGCAACACCTTTTAAGCCTACGATAGAGTGTGTAGGAAAGGACTACTCTTAAAACTGCAGAACATGGGAATCAAGGGAAACATGTACTCCTGGATTAAATCATTCCTTACAGATAGACTCATCCAGACCCAGATGGATGAAACCCTATCTTCAAAAGCAGTACTGGAGGAAGGACTCCTACAGGGATCTTCTATCAGCTGTACCTTATTCCTTGTCTTCCTCAATGATGTTTCAGATGTTCTCAAAACAGAAAAAGCCCTTTTTGCTGATGACCTGGTCCTTTGGCACACTGGAAACTCGACAACAATAAGCAGACGAAGACTACAAGATGATCTAAATTCCCTAGGAACCTATTGCCGTTTATGGAAGATGAAAGTAAATTGCGAAAAAACTGTCTACTCTGTTTTTACAAGAAGCTATAACCTTGCAAATGCAGAAATCCCTCTAAAAATAGATGGTACCAACTTGAAAAAGGAGAACAACCCAGTCTATCTTGGAGTACAACTTGACAGAAAGCTCAACCTGAAACAACACACCAACAACCTTAGGAAGAAGGCTATGAAGAGATTTAATCTCATCAAACGACTAGCCAGTACCAACTGGGGATCAGACAAGAATACCTTGAGAGGCCTCTATTTAGGATATACCAGAGCTGTTTTTGATTATAATTCTTGTTCTACAAAACATTTGCAGTAAAACTACTAAGAACTCAAAGGACACCATCCAATACCATGCTCTTCGTCTTATCTCTGGCGGAATGAGATCCTCACCGACTGCGGCCTGTGAAATCCACACAAATATTGAGCCATTAGAAACTCAAAGAAAACGGGCAGCTTTAGAAGTATATGAAAGATCTAAAAGGCTAGAAAATAACCATCCTAATAGAGTCCTTGTTGACAATTGGAAACCTAATCAAAGACTAAAAAATACATATTCTGTACTTGACACTGTTCTCAATCTCCAAGAAAAACATCACCTCCCTGAAAGACGAGAATCCCTGGAAAGAGTTCCCTCAACCCTCCCACCACATTTCACCATAGCAAAGCCAGAAATTAGGATAACACTTTTGGACAAGAGCAATAAAAACACATATCCTGTAGCACTAAAACATTCTTCCCTTGAAACAATTGATTCCTATCCACCAACATAGATCCACTCATACACTGATGGATCTGCCTTTAAGGCAACAATCAGCGCTGGATATGGGTCAGAGATCAACTTGCCCAGTGGGTTAAAAAAAGAAGTCTTTAATTCCAGCGGGTCTTTCTGCTCCAATTTCATTGCCGAACAACAGGCTATCATCAACACAGCAAACTACATAAACTACTTGTTTGACACTAACCCACTTGCTACCACAGACATCGTTATCTTTACAGACAGCCTTTCAACACTAGAGACACTTGAGAGTGGGACTGATGTGAACAAAGATATATTGCACTTGATATAAGTCTACATAACTTGATAAGTAGGCACCACATCAGAGTAGTCCTACAATGGATTCCTGCCCACACTGGGATACCGGGAAATGAAAGAGCTGATGCTCTGGCAAAGAAAGGAGCTAGCCTCCCTCAGCCTGAAATTCCTACGAATTACACCACCTGCTGCCAAATGATCAAGTCAAACCTCAAGGAAGAGTGGATTCATATGAATGATTGGGCCACAGGTACGACAGGAAGGAGGATGTATGGCCACATGAATAAACCACTGGTCAAAGATCCAATCAATGAGTTGAGGAGGGGAGATCAATCCATAATCTTCCAACTTAGAACACAACATGTACCCCTCAACCAACATCTCAACCGAATTGGAGTAAAGCAGTCTGCTGCCTGTCCACTATGTGACTACCCCTCAGAGACAGTTCAGTGGAACATCATCTGTTCTTCTGTAGAAAACTAACTGATTTAAGGGGATGTTTTCTTCCCAAGTTACCCCACACATCTAACTGCCTCTACTCCTCAAGACAACAATTAGAACAGACATGCAGCTATTACCGAATGGCATCATGCAGAAGAGTTAACGCTCAGATGCTACTGAATCGCTAACAGCAACACCTTTTATATATTATGTCAATTTAAAAACACATTTCAGTGTGGATGTTAGATCTGCTGAAAAATGTTCATCTAAGACACAAAAAATGTAAATTTTCAGTTCCCAGGCACACTCAAGCTTGGAAGTCGCTAGACTTTGGCGGCCATTTTCCCGTTAATTTTACATCTCATATCAGGTCACACTACCCACCTTCAATCGCAAATATCTCAGACTGGTATTTTTTTCGCCAAATGCAAGACAAATTAACAAGCTTTAATTTTACGTTGATATTGATAACCTGCCCAAAAATTGACAAGCATCTGAATCCACCAAGTCGTGATATTTCTCATGACACTACTAGCGGTCTGAGTACAAAACTAGAAACAAAGATAAAAATAACACAAAACGTTACGCTGAGACAAATCAATTACCTTTCGGAGCTCTTTTTTGTATTATCAATTTTATGCAAAGCACTCCTCTCCACACAATGTAACCAGAGCAATTCAATAATAATAATAATAATAAATAGCATTTATACTGCGCATTTCCATTTCCTAAAAGATGCTCAATGCGCATTACAATGAAAAAGACATCACATCTTAAAAATTAATCGACACAAATGTGTACGTAAAACAAAGTATTATACATATAATATAAATGAATATGTGTAAAATTTTATACCAGAAAAACAGTCTCGCAGTGAGGTTGAAAATGTGTTAACTAAAAATATTCAATGCAATATAAATTCACGAACAGTCAAAATACAGTTGAAACGTGAGTAACTAGAAACATTCATTAAAACATTAATTCTATACAGATAGAAAAACATTTCCGCTCTCTCTCTCTCTCTCTCTGTCTGTCTCTCTCTCTCTCTCCCTCCCTCTCCCTCTCTCTTTCCCTCTCTCGCTATCTCTCTCTTTTCTCTCTCTATCTCTCTTTTTTTCTCTCTCTCATTCTCACTCGCTATTTCTTCAGTCTCACAGTCTGGCATACACATGCATATATATCATAGTACATCATTATGACAGGTATGCTTTTGTGAATAAAAAATGCTTCGTTCAGCTGATTTTTGAAAATGGAAATTGTTGGGGCAGATCTTATTTTATATGGGATTTCGTTCCATACCTGGGGACCAAAGAACAAAAAGGAACGCTCGCTGTATGTTTTGTAGTTTTGTTTTGGAGTTTTAAGAATTAGATTGTCAGAGGCTGATCTAAGGGCTCTAGGTGGATTATATAATTCCAGGAATGTTTTAAGATAAAAAGGTGCACTATCATTTATACATTTAAAACAGAGAACGGCAGTTTTGTATTTAATCCTTTCTTTTATTGGCAGCCAGTGTAGTTCTATCAGAATTGGTGTTACGTGGGCTGATTTCTTTTGTTTCATTATCAATTTTGCTGCTTGATTTTGAAGTACTTGTAACTTTGATAGTTTTTCGGATGTCAAACCGGACAAAATAACATTACAGTAATCTAACTTTGATAAAATGAGTGTTGTTACAAGTGTCTTGGCTGCTGCTTTAGTTAAATAATTTCTTACACTGCCAATTTTCTTAAGCTGAAAGTAAATACTTTTGCTGAGCTGGCTTATTTGGGAGGACATAGACATATCATAATCCAACTGAACCCCTAGATTTTTAAGACTTCTTTTTGAACGAATGGTATGGTTATTAATATCAATTTGTAGCTCTGGGAGATTTTTAATGGCTTTTGTATTTCCACTCAACATTATTTCCGTCTTGTCATCATTTAGTTTCAATTTATTGCTGGTCATCCATATTTTTAAATCTCTAGATTTGTTCAGTAGAGTCGACTAAAAGTGGTATTTGATCGAAATCAATAGACTTATAATTCAACAGCAAGACAGGTGAATATCATTATATTATATGTGAGGCAGCGTGGTGAAATCAGGCGCTCGTCAAAATGATGGAAGTGGTAAAGAAACTGGCACTTTTCCACTAGTTTGGCATTTTAATTGAAATTTTGTGGGTTTTTTGGCTACAACAAGAAAAGATCAAAATGAAGACAACGAAGGTGGAAAAATTACATCAGAGGTCAGAGAACAGACAGGTATGCTGGGCCTGGACATGATCATGGAAAACTGCAGTTAAAGCAGAAGTGGGGTTGGGGGGCTACCATGCATCCTGCAGCAGTGGATGGAAAACGCTTGGAAAGATTTAAGAAAGAAAAAAAAAGAAAGAAAGAAAGAAGAAAGAAAGAAAGAAAGAAAGAACAGAAAAGTCGGACAATTGTAAAACGTTTTTAAAGTTCATACATCTACGGCCTACTATTAGATCTAGTAACTAGATCTAGATCTAGAGTCTAGATCTAGATCTAATCTATTATATTATGGCATGGCATGCATAGATCTAGCTCGCATGATGGCCAGTTACCTTTTAATGAAAGCCTGCTTTCAGAATGAGCCTTGTGATGCACCATAGTAGACCCACAGGGTGACAACTCCAGTCTGGAACCATCAGAATAACGTATTTCTGTGGCGTCATTGCTGTACAAAAACATCAAAACTGGAACTGCTACTGGGCTTGACATGACTGCGGATTTAAAGCAAAGAACGAGCTGCGCAGCGCTTTGGCTTTGGTTGATGTTCTCACCGGGGGGAAAACGTTCACAGTATTCCTGAATAGTCACATTTTAGTAACCAATTCTAAGGTGGGCTTATATTCATTGTAACATTGTCAGGTTCGACTGTCGGCGACATGAGATAACAAGTACTGTTCCTGGACGAAGAAATTGAAACAACCGATCAGGTAGGCATACCATGTCAGGAGTTGGGCGCGTATGCCGCCATGATGGCTTGCTTAGTGACAAGTTCCCGCAAGAACAGAAATCAGCCAATCGTCAAAGAAGAAAACGGTGTGGCAAACTTCTGATTACGTCGACATGTTTTTATGTCCTTAAATATATGACCCAAGCTATAAAGGCGAAAACATGGTTATTCGTAGTACCGCTCTGGCATGTGACACTAAAATCATACTCCATGTATATCATCTTATGTAAAGAGATGGGGCGCACTCACTATGACAATCTTTCAGTCGTGGTAAAAGCTACTGCAACAAACTGATAACTCAAAATACAAGTTGCACATGCACCCGTTGTTTTAAAAATTGTATCGAAATAAAAGAAATTGTGGGTTTAAACCAAGGCGCATATATTAACAATAAATGTTCTTAAGCACAGTAAAATTGTAATTGGGCTGATTCATCAATGTCATGCTCATAACTGTGCTTGAACTGCAAAAGGTAACTGCTGCTTTTTCTTTCCAAATCCTTAATTAATTATCGTTATTTTTTTACCTCTATTTATTTTGTATGTTTGTCACACTCATGTGACCTACTATTTCCGGGGTGCCTTCATAGTCGAAGCAAACGTTGTGCTGTTGAACTTAAGTTGAAGCTAGAGAGGTGAGCAGAGTAAGCCAGATTCCCTGTGAGGACTTCTCTGTTGACATCCACCGGCGCTCATAATACATGACCTATATTATGCAGTGCAAGCGCCGTAAAAACTCTACTAAAACAAAACAAACAAGGAGGGGTGATGAGTTTTGTAGTAGCTGTAGTAGTACAAGTAGGGCCTAGATATATGTGTGTGCGTATGTGTGTGTGTGTGTGTGT